TTTTGACAGCATGGATCGCTAACAGCCCTGTCAAATATAAATCTTTTTGTTGGCTTTATGCAAAGGCTTCCTTTGATATTCCAAATGCTTACAAAATTAAGAAACATTGAACAGAATTAGACAGCGTAATGTATTTATCAATTGAATACCTTATTATCGTGTTGCCACAATCGAGATATCACTGTACTATTTAATAGTTGTAGTACATTATATATTTAAGTAAGTAGTTGTCCATCTATTATACTACTGAACTTTGAACAGATAATTCTTATTTTACTAACGACATCTTATTGTTCTATCTAGTCTTTTCGTGAGTATAGTGGTGGAGGGGGTTGTTGAATAGTTCTTTTTATATTTACCATGCTGCATGAACCATGCGTACCTGAAATTGAAAAAAAAAATGAAACCATTAGTAACTGACAGATTCACTATAATCGATAAAATCTCATTTTAGGGAATTTTAGTAAAAAGTGTCAAAGTATATATTATTTATGCTGCAAACTAACTGCACCCTTTATCGAAATGCATCCTAAAATAACCATTTCAAGTGAAGCAATGCAATAATCTAAATAAGTAACAACATTGATCCATTTAATAGTAGAACCCTTGTACAAAAAAGCGGATCTGGGAACCAGTTAGCATGATGTAGTGACAACAGCATTGATTTATGGAGGGTATGTATCATAATTCGTTGTGATGACGAATTACTTCGAACGAGAGATAAAGGCACAAAAGGGGAAAGTGGTGTGTCACTGAGCTGATTGAAGCTCCGATTTTCGACTAAAGGAAACAGGATGGAAGGTTGAAAGTTGAAGGATAAATCAATATTAGCACCATGCATGACCCAATTGACGTTGTCTTTATCAGCTGCTTGGTTTTGCTTTAACCTGGATCCAGGTCAAATGCCTATCGACTTGTCAGGTAAGAATTTAGCGCTTGCTTGCTTTGTAGTATGTGGTTGACCCACCTTCACTATCGTACTCGAATTTCAGTTTATATCGACGATGGAGTTCAGCATTCGATATCCAGTTGTGAGGACACCAGGCACGAATTACATAACTACTGCACTGCCATTCTACGCATATCTGTCCCATGTTACTTTTGAGCGTTTTTCACTTTTGTTCATAAAACAGTACCTTTTTAGGTAGACTTTGGATTGAAAATAGAAAAACATATTGTTTGTTCTGGGTTTGTATAAAAACAACATCAAGCCTAATTGTCCCATGTTGAAATTCTACGCATAACTGTCTCACAAAGATTTTCTCGACTGAATTTATCATTAACGAATCGATTGGTGTACACAAATTATTGAAACAGGATTTATACAATTAAAGGAAACAGTATGAACCATTTTCGGAAGCGACAGTTTTATTTAATGTTGATACATATTAAGAAAAACTGGATTTCATATTAAAACGCAAGTTTCTAATTTCAAACAATGCAATATTAGACACTAACATAGGAACTCGCCACCCCCCACACTCCCCCTATAGTGTCTACTAGAGAGGGTCTAGTATAAAAGAGGAGCGGATTCAAAACAAACTGCCTTGGCAACCTATGCCTGGGTAGTTTCTAGCAACACTGCCAATGCAATCCAGATAGGCGCTGATTGATTGACTCTGGCTTTGACAGTTCGTTTGGTTCAAACCCAGCTAGTCCGCTCCTCTCTTATACTAGACCCTCTCTAATGTCTACGTGTTTAATGAAATAATACGTAGTATAAAGGTCAACTCCGTACGGAAGAAATTTGCAAAGTATTTCTTGAAATCATCGAAGCCCACGTTCAACGATCGTGTGACATATTGATCTTTTATCTACAGCATGTCAGCCTTAAATCTATGGTCGGACTCAAAATGATTAAGCACAATCTCCTTTAGGCCTACGTTCATCTTGCTAAGGAGTAGAAAAAGATGCTAAGAAGTTTATGTTCTAAATCATTAGTTTCTTGAGATGCCCATACTTTTAATGGTTTTATAGAAGTGTCAAAAAAATTATTGGTGGTATAATTTAATGATGGAAAGCTATACAAACTATCCAGGATCTTCCAAAACTGAGAAGAACGCAAGCACGCTCATGTAATCACAAGAGCAAAGGCGACAAACGCAACGTGACCATCAAAGCAACCCTGACAGTAACAGTTCCTAGTGGGACTAACATGCGTAGAATTTCCTACTTCAGTGCAAATTTCTAGGAATAACACTCCCATTACATATTGTTCGTATAAAAATAGGCTTAACTGATTTCATTGAAGGTAATTTCTGTAGTTTTCACTAAAACATATTGATTCTGTTGAAATGTGAACAATGCGCTAACTTATTTTAACGCATATTTCTTCCAATGAGCAGAAATGATTCGAAACATTATTCGCGATTTTCTCAGAAGCAACTTTTGAAACATGGGACTGATATGCGTAAAACGGCAGTGCAGGTAAGCAGGCTAATGAATACGTGTCTAGCTGGCTAGTATAAATGCACAGATTTAAAATTCCTGTTGATAATTTGATTTTTGTGCGTAATCTTTTCTGGATTAATCTCTGAATATTTCGTTAACTCGCAAAGGCAGTCCTATTCTCCTTGCACCTATGTCGCTCTTGGTCTTGTCGTCTGACACTATCTGGTCCATTTATTAGAAACTATCCATTTCCACCACTGCTTGCCCTACTACCGTAAAATATGATGGCTTGTCCGTGTTTACGTTGGTGACGAGATCGCTGCAGTTGAATTTTCGGCTAGGTGTCGTTGAGCTTACTCTATATATTAAAGCACCGTTGTGCTAATAGCGCTACATCATCAGCCAAATCGAAGTCGCTCAGGTACTCCATAGCGATAGGGTTGTCACACACAGTCAGATCTCCCTTCCTAGGGACCTTCACTAAGACGCATGCATCCAGTCTGTCAGAAGAGTCGCACTGTCTCATATATAATAGACAAGTTGATGCTACATTTGTGCGGATGGCTTGGGGTCAGTTTTGAGCATATCTGGTGATATGAGATTGACCTCAGGAGCCTCGTTGCATTCATGCTTCGAAAAGCTGTTTCTGTCTCCCGCAGCGATTTAGCCAGTCATTGTTTTTTCTTGATGCTACCGACGTCAGGGAGGCAGCTTCCACGCCTGGACCCTGCTTATCGACCCATCAACTCGTGAACCGGGGAACAACGGCTTTACTCCCCTTCCGAAGGAAGGCGTGATCAGAGATGTTATGCCTCAGAACATCCTGGCGGCGCCGACTAGGGTTGACCCCAGGCCTGCTGGGGTGAGAGGTTTTAGCCAGTCAATGGCTGGTTGACCGTCGAAAATTGATGAAGTTGTTCGAAATGCTCAAACCATCGTTTCAGCTGGTCCGAGATGAACCAGCCTTTAGCTGAAATTTCAGTTTCTGTACAATCGCGTTTTTCACTAGCATCTTTTTGGTTCATCCTTGCTCCACTCAAGCGTCGTGAGATATCGCCAGCTTTCTCCCCTGCTTCGGGAATCCACCCATGCTCGCACGTCACACCTCTAGAGAGCAAATACATGCAATTCCAAGTAACACTACAATCGTGGTCTTAAAGCGTTTTACAAATCTAAATCATGGTCTGCAGAACCTTCATTAATCCCAAATTGCTACTTTAGGACTGAAGAATCGATTTTTTTTGCTCTCTCTGAATTCTATGAAACTTCATATAAATGTTCACTAAGGGTTCACCCAGATTGACTCTGGCATAATGTTTCAAAATGGCGTATTTAATATGTTTAAATAAATCAACGGTGTGTTTCTATTCTCAAAAGGCAATTCGATTTCCTAATACTTTGTCTCAGACGTCATTTCGATAGATAATTCGTTTTCGTGCTATGATTAATTGAAAATTATCGAATAAGCTATTTCGAAAAATTGGGCGAAAATTCCAGCATTCACTTGGATCATTGCCTTAATTTGTTTTCCGTTAATCTTGTTTTCCATACTGAGTACCGACTCCAACTAGGTTTATTACCCCTGGCGAACAATTTGTGAAGTTTCATGGAATTCTGACAGGCAAAATCTGCAATTTATTTATTTTTTTCGCGATTTGGCGTGGATTTGATCAAGAGTCAAGGTACCGTTGTCGCTTTGTTTTCATAGCATCGTAATGTTTATTCAATTTGCACCGTCTACCTGGTTTGACAGTTTGATAGGTAGATTAGTCTTCATTCTAGTTCCATCTATGATCCACTGTTGTCGCTGCATACGTATCACACCCAGATTGTTCTCACTCGTCTCGATAAAGGCAAGCACATGATGGTCGTCCATTGTTCTTCTGCGCTGTCACCTTCTGGAACATCCACCACTCTGGTTTCAAGTTCTTCACTGTTAGAACTTCAAGGTCACAACCCTAATTATCTCTCCTCGTGACGATGGATCCAATAGTGCGTAGAAGAAGGCTCCGTCTCCATTTTCGTTGATGCAGATGTGGTCAATTAGATTTTCTAAGTAACCAACCGACCCACTCAGTGCTCTCTATTTATCGTGTACATACTTCAAATAAGTTAATTGACGGCCTTGTTGGTTTCTTGGTTGCGGCTGGAATGATAACGCTAACGGGTCATACAAATCCTAAAACCAAAAAAAAAAAAAAAACGCTAAATGATATTGAATTTCGAACAGGCAAACTATTAAACGCATTTTAAGATACTTATAATAAAAATTTTAATCCCGCTCCGAAAGATCTTTATAAACCATTCCGTTCAGTGGTTTGGTTTGTGGTTGGAGAATTTTTCATATTTTCTATCAATTGTGTTCAAAATAAGAATAATTTAGCTCAGCTAGAATAACCCCTACAGAATTTTAAAATCAGATCGGTTTTCCATGCCATAGTTTTTTGTATTTCTGCGACCCATAGATTGAGAAATGTTCCGTTATTGAATTATTCCTCAACGTTTTAAAAAGGACCTGTGATATAGAGTTGATACGCCTAATTGAAAACAATTTCTGCTTTTATTTGGGTTAAAATTTGTATCTACGAACAACATTATTCAACTGGTTTCTAGTAGCCCTTTTCGTGCAAGGGAGCACACGGTACCTTGGTTAAACCCGGGGCACATCCGACCAGGACATTTGCACCACACTTTGCAGTTCCATGATGGCCACCATGGTGAGGAGCATCATAGCTAGGCGCGGCCGATCGGTAGGCGTGGTGGGCATGATGTGCCTCTTGCACATGGTAGTGACCTCCGTGATGGGCGGCGTGTCCATAACCATGGTGTTCCTTGTGTACATGATGAGCAGCGTGGTGTCCATAGCCATGATGTTGTTCCTTGTGCTCATGGTGACCGTAGCCATGGTGAGCAGGCTTGTGTTGTCCGTAGGCATGGTGTTCTTTATGTTCATGGTGCACCTTGTGCTCGTGGTGACCGTAGCCATGGTGAGCAGGCTTGTGGTGTTCGTAGCCATGGTGAGCAGGCTTGTGGTGTGCGTAACCATGGTGTTCTTTATGTTCATGGTGTTCTTTATGTTCATGGTGTCCATATCCATGGTGAGCCTTATGTTCATGATGTTCAGCCTTGTGGTGACCGTAGCCATGGTGTTCTTTATGTTCATGGTGTCCATACGCATGATGTGCCTTGTGTTCATGATGCTCAGGCTTGAGGTGTCCATAGGCATGATGGGCATGGTGTTCTTTATGCTCATGGTGTCCATAACCATGATGTTCTTTGTGCTCGTGATGACCGTATCCATGGTGAGCCTTATGTTCATGATGTTCTTTGTGCTCGTGGTGTCCATATCCATGATGTTCAGGCTTGTGGTGCTCATGGTGTTCCTTGTGCTCATGGTGCCCGTAGCCGTGGTGTTCTTTGTGCTCGTGGTGTCCATAGCCATGATGTTCAGGCTTGTGGTGTTCCTTGTATTCATGATGACCATAGCCTTTATGTTCGTGGTGTTCTTTATGTTCATGATGTCCGTAGCCTTTATGTTCATGGTGCTCCTTGTGTTCATGATGCCCATAGCCATGATGTTCAGGCTTATGACCGTAGCCGTGATGATGTTCTTTGTGCTCATGATGCTCTGCCTTATGGTGTCCATATCCATGATGTTCATGCTTTTTATGGCCATAACCGTGCTCGTGTTTGTGCGCTTCATGTTTGTGTTCGTGTCTGTGAATTATACGCAAAATCAAGAGTATCAGTTTAATGTTAATGTTAATGTTAAAGTAGCTACTCGATATTGATGGGACCATAAAGTTATACAATTATCGAAATATTTATTAAAAATCCTGTAGGAAATCACTATTGCAGTAGCCATGAAATAAAATTTGGTTAAGGTTCTTCAACTCGTTATGGAGTTAGTTATGTGTTAGTATGTTAGTATGTGTTAATATGTCAATGTTATGTCATACATAAAGTAAGATCAAACGAGATAATTTTTAACTACAGGGTCTAACTCTGGTATTCCTGAGGAAGGAGCCAGTTTCTGACTTGATTCGTAGAAAAAAAATAATGAACAACATATTTGAATCAGCATGGAATTTTTATGAAATTGTAAATCATATGTGCTCTAAAATGCAATTTTCATACTCATATCAATATAACTTGAACACCAGGATAAATTTTGCAATTGTGTCAAGCCAGATATTTTTTATTTCTGCTCTTCTAACAGATTTTACACACCAAATAACATAAATATGAAGTTCGTAGAACAAAATGTTTGTAGACTTTGAAAAATTTACGAAGTCGTTTTTCGTCCCACATTTACAACTTTGGAAAATCGACAAACCATTCTGATACTTCCTAATACCGCAAGTTTAAGCAATTGAATGACATACACACATACACATTTGAAACACACAAAATTAATTTCGTTCTGAATAATAACTATGTCAACACACTTTTTATCACATTTTGTTCTTATTAAATAATCTGACAAATATAAAGGGTAAGATTTTTCAGCAAAAGCTTCTGCTTAAGTGTATCCTCTCCAATAGAAAAATTGAAAAAAAAATAGGAAAAACCACGAGTGAATCAAAAGCTGGATGTATTGAGATTTTTTTTATGCTTTTTGAGAAAACTTGCTTTATTGGTTCATTCTGAAGTTTATGCGTTTGATTATCATTGATTTAAGCAAAGCATATTTTTGTTTGGATCATAATCAATAAATATTCTGAACAAAACAAACGGGTACACTGAAATACTAAAAGTTACAGACAATTTTTTATGTACGTTTTATAACTTGAACAGTCCTTATGTTAATGGTAGCTTTATTAAGTGCCCAAGACCACATTTCTCTTTCCGGAGCTTTCAGTTTCTGACTTGGGAAATAACCCAACAAACGGTACATCAATTCCCATGGAAACTGTAAAAATTAAACTAAAATAAGACCACTGACCATTGACTTCCCAGGTCCACATTGGTCACATCCAGACATGTTCCAGTTATCTTCGGAGAAGCTAATGCTGACATGACCAAAATCTGTTATATGTGCAGTTCCACGTTAAATAAAAAATCCATCAGACTCGACCTTCCCTGATTTGCATGAATTGTGTGGCAATTATAATTCACATATGTGCTTGAATTCGTCAATTTAGTATCTTTCAAAACAATTCAAAATGGCGTATTCGGCATTATTCAATAAATCGTAGTGCAAAAACGTCACTCCTAATCGAAATGATGTCGGACACAAAATTAAATTAATTCTAGGATAAAGTATTCACGAAATATTTTTATGGTAATTTTGAGAAAATAATCCCAAAATGTGATGAAAATTTAAATAAAAAAAAGTTCATTATCAATATTTTTGATGTTTTTTTTTTTATAAAGTTCATGAAAAATTCCAATTTTGAAATATTGAAAACCTTGGACACTTAACATTTTTGAAAAAAAAAATCAAATAACAACAACTTCTGGTAAAATCTTGGACATTTTTTTCTAAAATATTGTTGAAGTTTTTGGACAGAAAATTGTTTTAAACCTAAATATTGTTGTTGGCACCACGGATCAGCACGTTCAGCACCACCCGTGAAAAGTTACCAAAGGGACGTAGATGAGTGACTTGCGAAGCGTTTACTCCGATAGGGCAGAGAAAGGTAAAATTTATTCCGATAGGGCCGCTCAATTGTATTCAATAGTAAACAGTGACAAGAGATAATTACGACTTGTGCATTGAAATTTCCTGAATTTGTGCTAAAATAATTAATAGAACCTATTGTAAGTACCCTGAATATGTTTCCATAACATACCTTACATCTAAATATTAAACTATACAACAGATACACAAATTGGAACAAAAAGCTGTTTAAGTACGGTGGATTCACTAAAGTAGAGGACAATAATTGTAGGTTAACCTAAGAATGTAAAATTTATCAACAAAAAAGTAAAACATAAAATTGAATTTCAGCTTAAAGCTAACTCACAACAACAATAACGAGTTTGACTCGAAGAGGTCCGAACACAGAATCCACTGCTGCAACAACAAACTTTAAGAATTATTTCTTGAAAGTAATTTTGACTTCTCAACCCTGAACTATTATGCCTGGAGTTCCACTGATGCCGGATGAAGTCCCAGCCGATGCTCAATGCATTTTATGCAAGCGACCGAATACGGCGGATGCGAAGATGGTCCAGTGCGATGGATGCAGCCGATGGTACCACTTTTCGTGCGCTGGTGTAGGTGATAGCATCGAGGCTGATGACCAAAGCTACCAATGTGTGTTATGCCGGCCAAGGGGTTCCCGTGCACCGTCGTTGGTAGGATCAACACCATCGACGACTGCAAGTGCAAGAGAGGCAAAACTTCAATTGGAAATGCAGCAATTGGCCGAGGAAAAAGAACTTCAAGCCAAGCTGATGGCAGAAAAGGCGAAACACGACCAGGAGATGCAGGAAAAGGCTTTGCAATTGGAAAAGGACAGGAGAGAAAAGATGATGGAGGATCTGATGAAACTGGAGAAGGAGTTCCTGGAACGGAAATTCAAGTTGCTTCACGCGCGATTGGATGAGGATGCTAAGGCAAATTCAAGAGCGAGTATGTGTAGCGGTGACAGTGCAGCCGATAGCGTCGATAAAGTTCGATGCTGGATCGACAACCACCAAGTGATCCTGAGTGCCAAATCTGGAAAAGTTATTTCCACTGGGCTCACATCGCAAGCGGGTGGCCACATCCTACCAACAGAATCGATGCCGGTAGCAAGCACAGCGCAAAACAGCTCGAATGTAGTTCCAGTTTCAGCAGTTACCAGCCAAGAAGTGGGATCGAAACCGGTTAGCACACAAGGTGTGTTTTCGAAAAACTTTGATGACGTCATCTCACCTATTGCGACCGTACACCAGGGAGGTTTCACTAGTGTCGCAGAACCAGCCCTATCACTTCCAACATTGCTTCAATCAACGCCCCGGGCAGCACCTGTGTCGCTGACGAGTATTCCAACTGTGCAGCCGACATTAACGTGGCAGGCGAATACCAATCTGATTCCGCCTGCAGTCAACCAGCTGGTTCCGGATTTAGATCCTCAGATTCCTGTACCGGTATCATATGGCGGACACAATCAACCACGAGAGGACAGACCTTATTGGATGGATCCTCGAGTTGGTCAGTACAATCCGTATGTAGTACCTACTTCGAACATGGTGAGTACTACCAGCTCAGAAGTTTTCACAAGAAGAACTGTAGAACCAACCAATCAAAACTATGTCCAACCATCACATACTTTCCAGCCAACACTAGGGCAGTTAGGGCACTCCGAAATACCTAGAAACGTATCGCACTTCGATTCCGATAGCTATTTCTTAAATAGGAACCAGCCTTTAAATTTTTCAAATCCTCTGGTGTCACAAAATGCTCCTTTCGCTGCTTCTCACACACAAACCGTACCCATGCTTTCGCAAACATGGGGTAATTCTCGACCGCCACTTCGTCCTCCTGTAGTGAGTGTCTCGAGTTATCAAACACCTATACCAGCTGTACCAAACCCACAGTTGCAGTATGGGGTGTTTCAGCCATCGTACGGCCCGAATGCGCAGCAGTTGGCAGCACGCCACGTTGTTCCCAAAGACCTTCCGTGTTTTACTGGGGATCCAACAGAGTGGCCGATGTTCTGGAGCAGCTATGATACGTCTACGCAGATGTGTGGGTACAACGATTCGGAGAACCTGATGCGACTACAACGAAGCTTGAAAGGGGACGCGAAGAAAGCAGTGAGCAGTTTTCTTCTTCATCCGTCAAACGTTCCGGAGATAATCAACACGTTGCGAGTTCTCTATGGACGACCGGAAGCAATCATCAACTCTCTTCTGGCTGAGGTGCGAGCAACACCGACACCGCGACCAGAAAAACTGGGGACTATAATCAGTTTCGGCCTGGCTGTTCGCAATTTCTGTACGCATCTAGTTTCGACTGGACAACAGGTACATTTGACTAACCCGATCTTGATCGATGAGCTAGTCGAAAAGCTTCCAGCCAACATTAAGCTGGATTGGGCGATGCATAAGCAACGAGTGCAGAACGTGGACTTGAGGACATTTTCGGATTACATGAACGTGATCGTAACGGCAGCTAGTAGTGTTACACCAGTCACTGCCAAATCCGAAAAGTCGAAAGGGAAAGCCGAGATACACACGGTGAACGTCCGGAACGACAAGGCAACCAACAAGAAACCAGAAGCTTCCATCCAAACGGGAAGCGAACGTCCTTGTGTGGTTTGTCAAACAGCCGGCCATAAACCAAAAGACTGCAGTAGCTTCAAGTCGAAGACGTTGGAAGACAAATGGAAGGTGGCCCAAGAAGTTCATCTGTGTAGACGCTGCTTGTATCCGCATGGTAAATGGCCGTGCAAAGCATCAAACTGCGGGGTCAACGGTTGCCAACAACGCCATCACCGATTGCTCCATCCGGGCGATCCACGAGAAGGCAAAGCAGAGGGCTCGACTCCGGTGTCTGGCGTAATCTCCGTTCATCAGCAACATCACCAAATTCTCTTCCGTATTGTCCCTGTAGTTCTTCACGCTAATGGTCGATCGGTTCAAACCTTCGCTTTCCTGGATGGTGGTTCCGATTCTACTTTAATGGAGCGGTCTTTGGCAGAGCAGTTGGGTGTACAAGGTCCGACTTCTCCTCTGTGTATGCAGTGGACTAACGGGGTCAAGCGTGTGGAAGAAGAATCCCAGCAAATTCAGCTGAATATTTCTGGAGTTACCACTGGCAAGCAGTTCACCCTACAAAAGGTGCAAACCATCGATGGGCTAGAACTACCGCGACAGTCTATACATTTTGAAGAGCTGAGGAACAAATATCCGTACATGAGAGGTTTACCTGTTCGAAGCTACAACGACGCTGTTCCAGGTATCCTGATAGGTTTGGACAACACAAGGTTGAAGACAACGCTTAAGTTGCGAGAGGGCCGTGAACACGAGCCAGTAGTCGCCAAAACTAGGCTAGGCTGGGTTTTATATGGTCACTCTGGAAATGAAGTCAGAAGTTTATCACAGCGAGTTCTTCATATTCGTACCAAGTCCCAAGACAACGAATTACACGAGCTAGTGAAGAGTTTCTTCTCTATGGAGAGCGTTGGGGTTTCGGTGACACAGGCGAAGGAATCAGCAGACGACAAGCGAGCTAAAGAGATTCTACAAGCAACCACAACCAGGACTGAAACCGGCAGATTCGAAACCGGACTTCTGTGGAAGTTCGACAACGTTGAGTTTCCCAACAGTAGATCCATGGCCGAGCAGAGACTGAAGTGTTTAGAACGTCGTCTTCATAAATCACCAACCTTGTACGACAACGTTAGGCAGCAAATCGCAGACTACGTATCTAAGGGCTATGCACACAAGGCAACTCCACGTGAACTGGATGAGATGGATCCGAAGCGGACGTGGTTTTTACCTCTGGGTGTCGTAGTGAATCCCAAAAAGCCCGATAAAGTCAGGGTCGTCTGGGATGCCGCTGCATCGGTGGAAGGCGTTTCCTTGAACTCCGTTCTTCTAAAAGGACCTGACCTGCTGACAGCATTGCAAGCAGTCTTATGTCGTTATCGACAGAAGGAGACCGCCATCAGCGGAGACATAATGGAAATGTTCCATCAAGTACTCATCATACTCCAAGATCGTACAGCTCAGTGGTTCCTGTGGCGGGACAATCCATCCGATCCGTTTCAAGTATACGTCATGGACGTCGCAATTTTCGGATCAACGTGTTCTCCTAGTTCAACGCAATTTGTAAAGAACCTGAATGCGGATGAGTATGCTGCGGAATTCCCGGAGGCGTCCGAGGCGATAAAGAAAAATCACTATGTAGACGATTACCTTGACAGCGTTGATTCTGTCGAAGAAGCAGTTCAGCTGGCATTGGACGTTAAGGAAGTGCACGAAAAAGCAGGATTCCTTATTCGGCATTGGATGTCGAACTCTCCAGAGGTGCTGCAGCGGATTGGGGAGAAGAACACGAAGTCGGTGAGGAGTTTCACCATGGACAAGGGTAGCAACCTGGAACGGGTATTGGGGATGGTGTGGCGACCACAAGAGGATGTCTTCGTATTCTCGATGACTTTCCGGGAGGATCTGCAACGTCTAATGGATGGATCCGTTGTGCCGACCAAACGCCAAGTCCTGAGCTTAGTCATGAGTGTGTTCGATCCATTAGGGATGATCGCTCCCTTCGTAGTTCATGGAAAGACGATAGTTCAGGAAGCGTGGCGATCCGGAATTGGCTGGGATGAGCCGCTACCTGCAGATATCGTACCCCGGTGGGAAAAGTATGTAAAATTACTTGGAACACTGGATATGGTTAAGATACCCAGATGCTACTTTCCCGGCTACAGCGCTGGAGCCTACGATTCGCTCGAATTGCACGTTTTCGTTGATGCTAGCAGTACTGCATACGCCGCCGCAGCCTACTTCCGGATAGTAGATGGCGGTAAAATACGCTGCAGTCTCGTGTCTGCAAAAACCAAGGTGGCGCCGATTAAGTTACTTTCAGTGCCACGGTTGGAGCTACAAGCAGCCGTAATTGGAACACGACTTATGAAGTCCATCATAGCAAATCACACGTTGCAGATCAAGCGCAAAGTATTGTGGAGCGATTCTTCCACGGTCTTGAACTGGCTTCGGTCAGACCCGCGAAAGTACAAGCAGTATGTAGCGTTCCGGGTAACAGAAATTCTGGATGAAACGGAGGTCAGCGATTGGAAGAAGGTGCCCACGAGAATGAACGTAGCCGATGAAGCCACCAAGTGGGGTCATGGACCATGTTTCGAAGAACAGAGCAGGTGGTTCAAGGCCCCAGAGTTCCTGTATAAGCCGGAGTGTAGCTGGCCAGAGGAAGCGGTAGAGTCGACAACAGCCGAAGAATTAAGGATGGTCCATGTGCACCAGCTGCCACCGACGCAGCCAGTCATCGAGTTCAAACGGTTTTCAAAGTGGGAAAGGTTAACCCGCACAGTAGCATTCGTTCTACGGTTTTGCTGCAGGCAGAAGGGCAAGGACGAATCAAAGAAGGACGGAGAAGTAACCTTGAGCAGTGAGGAGTGTAAACTAGCGGAGTCGACCGTGTTTAAGCTGATCCAAGCGAGTGAATACCCGGACGAATGTAAAATTCTGCGGAAAAATCACCAAGTGCAGCTAGAGCAACGTAAGCGAATCCAGAAGAGCAGTCGGATATTCAAACTATCTCCGTTTCTAGACCCAACCGGAGTCATGCGAATGGGATCACGCATCGCTGCCGCGGAGTGCGTTTCAGATGAAGCCAAGTTTCCCGTGATCTTGCCGAAGGATCACTACGTCACGCAGCTAGTGATTAACTGGTATCATAAGAAGTATAGACACGCGAACAACGAAACGGTGGTGAACGAAATGCGGCAGAAGTTCCACGTCTCAGAACTGCGAACAGCCGTCAAGAAGGTGGCAAGTTGCTGTAACTGGTGTAGAGTCTACAAATCGAAACCACAAGTCCCACCGATGGCTCCACTGCCTCCGGCACGCCTTACGCCGTATGTCAGGGCTTTCACCTTTACGGGACTGGACTATTTCGGTCCGATCACTGTTCGCTTTGGCCGTGGTGGTGTTAAAAGGTGGGTTGCGCTCTTCACCTGCCTAGGAACCCGAGCAGTCCACTTAGAAGTCGCCTACACTCTGTCCTCCGAATCCTGCAAGATGGCAATACGTAGGTTCATTGCCCGCCGAGGTGCGCCACAGGAAATCTACTCAGATCAAGGCACCAATTTCCAAGGTGCTAGTACGGAGCTAAGGCAGCAAATCGGTGCCATCAATCGGGATCTAGCGGGGACGTTCACAAACGTAGACACGCAGTGGAAGCTCAATCCTCCTTACGCACCCCATATGGGAGGCATATGGGAAAGGCTGGTGCGCTCAGTCAAGACTGGACTGGCATACATGGAGTTGTCAAAGAATCCGAATGAGGAGACCTTGGTAACTGCTCTAGCAGAGGTGGAATCCATGGTGAACTCGCGACCCTTAACCTATCTACCAATCGACAGCGAGGAATGCGCAGCCTTGACACCGAACCACTTTCTACTGTTGAGTTCAAGCGGAGTGGTTCAACCGGCGGTTCAGCCAATCGAGGAGAATATGGCATTGCGGTCGAACTGGAAGCAGGTTCAGGTAATGCTGGATCGATTTTGGGTGCGGTGGATCAGGGAATACCTGCCTGTCATCTCCCGACAACCAAAGTGGTTTGGAGAGGTCACTTCAATCAACATTGGAGATTTGGTTGTCGTTGTGAACGAGAGTGTAAGGAACAGCTGGATCAGAGGAAGAGTCACTCGGGTGTATCCTGGGCGAGATGGACGAGTCCGCAGCGCGGATGTTCAGACCTCAGCGGGTATCATGCGCCGACCGGCAACGAAGCTCGCTATCCTGGATGTAGCCAGAGAAGGAAGTATAGCTTAAGAGCACTTGAAGCAATACGGTCGGGGGCATGTTGGCACCACGGATCAGCACGTTCAGCACCACCCGTGAAAAGTTACCAAAGGGACGTAGATGAGTGACTTGCGAAGCGTTTACTCCGATAGGGCAGAGAAAGGTAAAATTTATTCCGATAGGGCCGCTCAATTGTATTCAATAGTAAACAGTGACAAGAGATAATTACGACTTGTGCATTGAAATTTCCTGAATTTGTGCTAAAATAATTAATAGAACCTATTGTAAGTACCCTGAATATGTTTCCATAACATACCTTACATCTAAATATTAAACTATACAACAGATACACAAATTGGAACAAAAAGCTGTTTAAGTACGGTGGATTCACTAAAGTAGAGGACAATAATTGTAGGTTAACCTAAGAATGTAAAATTTATCAACAAAAAAGTAAAACATAAAATTGAATTTCAGCTTAAAGCTAACTCACAACAACAATAACGAGTTTGACTCGAAGAGGTCCGAACACAGAATCCACTGCTGCAACAACAATTGTCTTCTGTTCTAAACCTTAACCTCTTATTGTAATTTATTAGTATAAAATATAATCTTAGCGCTTAATGGTTTCATAATTCCAGTAAAAAACTTGTAATTTCACGTAAAAATTCAAAAATAAATGTTAAAAACTTAAATATCTCAAAATGACCTTGACGGTTTTTTTTTGTTAACCAAAGCTCATCAAAAATTGAAATTTTTGAAAATTCCTAGGATTATGGACGCAAAGAATGAACGAAAATCGAAGAACAAGAACTTCAGTGTTTTGAACTTTTTGTTTAAACGTTTTTACATGAAATTTATACTCAGAAAACATTGTTCGAGGCATTTTTTTTTTGACAAAATGTCAAAAAAATTACCAGAAGTTCTCGGACTACAACTTTTGTCAGTTATAAAGTATCCATCATTTTGAACATTCAAGTATTCATTATTTATAAGCTTTCTTTGAACAAAAAAATGGACAAGGACATTTTGATATATTTGGGTTTCAAAATTTGTTTTAATGTTTTTTTTTTCTTAAAATAATTATAAAAATGTTTTTTTTTTATTTTTCCTCGAAAGACATTGTTTTCCGCTACAACTTTGGCTCTGACGTTATTTCGATCAGAAACGTCCAAAATGGCCGAATTTTAGCAAAAATATGAATCATTGCTTTCAACAAATAATTACGCAAAGATTCCTGCTAATCGGAGACGGTTGATTCAAAAATTCAATTGCTCTTTCTTTATTTTGTCTGGAATGGCTCAATATGCATTTTTTTCTATTAAATGTTATGTATTTTTTATTTAATCTTATATAGATATTTTTCCTATTTATTTCATGTATGACCCCAACTTTATTTCAAATCCAGAATAACATGGAATAATTATAAAAATTTACAAATTTTGATCCAAAAATTAGAAACTGTTTAAAGTTTCAGTAGCAAAAAATTGCATTTATGACGATTTTTAAACTTATGTTTGATTGAAAGCTCTTAAAAAATTTTGCACCTAAAAAAATCAAAAAAAAAGATACTAAAAAGAAATGTTTAGTTTGAAAAAGCCCATTGTGAAATTTTTTAGAAAAGTCATCATTTTTTAAATTGATGAGTGCACTTTTATGATATTGATGTTTTAGCATTTTTTTTTTCATTTGTAGAGAAGATTGTTTTTTTTTTACTATATGTTTTTATTTCTGAAAAGGAAATTAAGTTTATTTTCGTTTTTCATTCGTTTTCAAAGCAACTTACTGCAGTGGAGATGAACTAGCCAGTTGGCTAAAAATCTCGTTATAAAAGTTTTAAAAATAAATCACATAATTGCAGAAACTATACGCACTCATCCTTATTTACCTGAATAAAAAACCTTCCTCCTATTTCATATTTTTTTCATGGAACATGTTTCAATCGATCAGGAATCATATCTAGGTTTGTAGTGTATAAAGGATTAACGTAATTTTCGTTCCAATTTTAAATGGCTTGGGGTTAAAAATCATATTTGAAAAACTCGAGAATTTGAATATTACCGAAATTTAACACAAATCATACTCAACTTTTCCACAGTGAAAAGCTGCGCGTGGCTCCAGATCGACTGAAACCGATTTCATGAAAATTGATCAAGAGCTCATGAAATCAACCCGAGGACAAATGTGACATTCATCTATTCTCTTCATCAAGTCGGCTACAAAAAGGCTCGTATCGTGTTTGTTGCATGAGATGTTAGATAATAGCTTCATTCAACGAACTATTTATCGACATTAACAGAAATTTTCATTACATGGCCGTATTGATTCAAAGAGAAAGTCAACAATGAAATACGAGTATCATTATGATATTGCTTGAAACAGTGTGGTCTGTCATCGCTCATAATAACATTTAAAATGTCAAAATAACTTTTAACCGTCACAATTTATTTAAATACGAAGAAATGCACTAAAATGTCCCTAAAATCGTTAAAATAGGCCTTAAAACACATAACAACTAAAACTAGCAAAACTATAAACATAATTTAAATTAGCATTAAAAGCTTTGAATATAAAACCCCTAAATCAACTTTGCAAAGCCAAGATACCATTGAAAATTTTCTTTAAAAAATGTTCTTTAGAATGCCGTAGTTCGCAAAATCGCCAGAAAATTGACGTAGCACGCTAAGTTATATTTTTTTTAATTCCTAAGCTGTCCAAATATAATTGTTCAATAGCCTTTATAACACTATCCAAAATTGTCAATCAATCGAAAAGGAAAAGACACTGAACCTCCTAACAAAATTTCAGTATGACAAAATATTGCGAACAATTTATTGGAATTAGACAAAAATTAATGAAATATTCTGTGTAGCGGTTTAATTTGCTGAAAGAAAATTTAAACATACATTTTTAGGTCGCGGTCATAATGACTGATATGCCCTTCCTCTTCAAGTTTTCCAGACCACAAATCTCTGACACTGTTGCAACATCGCCAATTTAATAGTAATTCCTTGCTTGCTGCAGCAAATGTGAAGTTCCAGTTTCATTATTGTATGTTTTGTGAGAGCTGATATTTGTGCTTTTGAAATTTTGAGGTGATAGTAAGATCAACCAAACATAAGGTTTGGGCAGCGTTTAAATTAAAATTTACTTAAATTTTAAGAAACCTTTTGATGATTTAAAATCTGAGGCATTTTCACTAGCGATAAGCATAAATAAATTTAAATTATATTTTATTTCAATTTTGATGATCAAATTTTCATAACTTTAAAAATAAACTTGTGACAAATTTTGCGAGATCTGAACCAAATATATGCACCCAAAAGAGTGTTTAACCATTAGATACTCCACTTTGAATCCAGCTACATTTGATCACTTATATCTCATCAATGGCATGACGCATATATTAAATTTTCAATATTTCGTGCTATAACTTCTTGTATCCTATGCACTTCAATCAGCCCTTTGAGTAATATTCTCTAATTTGTAAGATTTTTATGATTCTGCATTTCAATCACATGACTACAAAACGTTTGAAAAACTAAGCCTTTATCAATCACAAATCCACTGATCGATTGAAAATATCCCATTATTTAAATGATAATCATCAGTCAAAAAAAAAACTAAATGTAAATGAAGACATATCAAAATGATTAATCACATAGAGTAAAAAAAAAAAACACTCACCCATAATGATGCTGATGATGCTCTTCGTGTTTTTTGGGTTCTTCATATTTGTGCTCATGGCTGTAAGTAATCCAAACACGCAGAAACCAAATCAACAAATTAGCATTACTCCTAGCATCCAAACAAACGGCAAGAAATGAAAACCTACGCGTGGTGATATCCGTGAGTATTGTAGCTCCGTGCTTCGGGATGCTGTTCGCTGGCCGCGGGATCCTGATCTTCATCGCACACGGTTTCGGTTTCCCCGTTCGCCCCTACGATATCCGTACAAGTAATAGCCCTTTTAAATCGCACGACCGGAACTTCACTGGTACCTGATGTGGTCGTTGTCGTCGTCGTCACCGGTGTCTTCGTATCGTCACCGACGGCATCTTTCACCAGTTTATCTCCACCGTCGAAATCGTCGGTCGTGGTATCCTTTTCTTCACCGGTCACATCACTTTCTACGGTACGTACTACTTTTTCGTCCACTGAATCAACGTCCACTTGAAGCTCGAAGGAAGGAACCGGTGATGCCCTTCCGAGGGCAACCGTTGCAACCAGTGCAAACAAAATCACAGTCTCGAGTTTCATGTTCATGCGTCTTTTCCGAGGGAGACGCAAATTTTCCACCACACACCAATGAACTGAAAGCATGCCGAGGTACCGGAGTGCTTTTATGCAATTTCGGTGTGCAACCCAAATTGATGAGTGATCACAGAGTTCAATGGCTTTTTTTTTTGTTTTGTTCCGCAGTAGAACCAATTGCTGTTCTTGCAGTTAATTACGGATTGGTGGTGAAAATTGATTTTTTTTTGTTCTGCAGAATGTTCAATCAAATTGTGCTAATTTGAAGTTATTGCAACCATCGCATAAATCGGTCTTGCAGTGCTGTTTTCTGGAGAAGGAAATACATTGTTCCATTGAATGTTGTGTGTTTGATAAAACCAGCACGAGGTTGAATGAAAAATGCATGTGACTTTTTGCCCCTGGATTATGTATCATACTGAGAGTATGATGAGGATCGAATTTTTCAATAGATTTAAAACAGAATTTCACTGAAAATATGGTGAACGATAGTATAGACTTTTCCAGAAGTCATCCGAATAATTCCATAATTGGGGCATGCAATCCAGGAATGTTTTGTATGTACACATATTTTTTTATCGCTGGAAAGCAACAAACTTTTGCTAGATTTTGACGAGCTGAATTTCCAGCAATTCATCCAGCATAAATAAACATAGCTGTTCTTTCAGAAATCCAGTTTGACAGTAACTTTGCTGCATTTTCTGCATTTTTTTTATCTTGGTAGCAGAAGGGTTTCAGCTATTTTTGCTTTGTATACCTTCTCAACGGGTATATAGATTAATGATTTTAAGAGATATTACAAGATATTTACATTGTTGATTGATCAATTTTTGTTTTTGAATTGAGTTTATTATTATTTACTTTCATGAGGATCTTACAGCTCTCTAAGGAAAACATTAACAGGAAATTAATTTCTAATGAAATAATAGTATAGTTAATAAATTGCAATAATTGTTTACCATTCAGAGAATAACGGGAAAACATAAAAGTCCAACTGACAGATAGCACATGCATATTTTACTGGTTCCCAGTACTCCATACCAAGCGTTGCTGGTTTCCAGTGAAAAATTGTTTTGCTGGACATTCTTCACCAATCAAAATGGCTGGAAGCCGGATTCAAACTTTGGTGTGTACGTAGCGTTAAATTTGTTTACCTGATTGAGTACCATTTCAATCACACCCGGTAATGTTAGCTTGGCGATATTCGTGAATAGTTTTATTAACCATTTCATACATGTTCCATAAACTAGATCCTGGTCAGGGACGTCTTAACCATCCTTGGGGCACTTGGTATATTTTTAATTGCGGGGCTCCCTATGATTTGATATTATTTTATTTTTTTTTTGGATACATGCAATGCGTCAATCATTTTTTGATTTAATTTCTTCTTCGAAACTACTTTCATTTTAATATACAATTGAACGGAATAAGCTAAATCAGTTTACGTCAGTCTCATACTGTTAATAGAAGTGTATTGGTATTCATAAATATTTCCTACTCATTCTTGAGCAGTTGGTGGTCATTAAAATATCATGATATGAGGATTATTTCCACATTTGGGAAAACCAATTTCTTAAATAAGAATTTTGGTTTTATCACAGCCTTGTTGATTTGGCTTTATAGAATGTTTTAAAACTTTGATACAACTTACTACTTGAGTTCTGTCCATACAGTGTATCTCAAAATAGAGCGTACTCCAAATGGGCAACGAATGGGCAATTTTTTTAGACTTTTGAGATCTTGGCTAGTGATTGAATCTTATTATTCATTGATTTATCAGTATGTATGAAGTTTTAGTAATTTCAGTAAAACGGTCAATTTCAACTTCAATCACAGTAGGCGGATTTTAGTAACATTAGTGGCATTTTAAAGATCTTTATTATGACTACACATTAGCAAAATTTCAATATGTTTGACCAATTGTATTTCAAGAAAATGAGTTTTTTTCTAAATCAGCTCTAACTTCTTACACACTCATCCAAATAAGCCCAATACTATACCGATAACCAATAAATGGTTGATGAGCCAGCAGCCAAAAATTTAGATATCTATCTTTTTCAGATATGCTCGTACCAGAGATGCCAGATTTTCTTTTTCAGAATTCTATGAAAAATGTTTGTGAATTTCAGAAATGTCTGTAATTTGGCTGCATAAAATTAGCAAAATGCATGTGATGAGGAAGTCATGAAATAGATGCGAAATTTTAAATGTCATTAATAGTCATTTTCGAGCAAAAACCACCTGCTCTTAATGAATTAACGTTAAAAGCAATTAATAAAACAAATAAATTACAACTACACGACAAATGAGGTCGACTCAAAGTTGAGATTAGTTCACTAATATTCTTGAAAACGTAGTTAACTCATAGACTGAGTCAAACTTTTCGAGATTTTAAAGGAATTTTTTTTGACGTAGGACTACGTCTTTGATTTCTATATGGGGGTACACTTTGTGAAAACCGAAAATGGAACATGTAACAAATTAAGAAAGATTTTGAACGTTAATAACTCAGCTGCCCCTGGTCCAATTTCAATAATTTTATCACCAATCGATCAGAAATATGGCTACGCATTGATAACAATGCTTTCGAATGCTGATTTTCAACAAGAAACTATTGAAAAACTGGTAAATGTCCAGCATTGTCGAAAAGCGTCGAATTAACTAACAAATCCACCAATTACCTACATGCATATGCTGCTTCCCCAGCACAGTCGTCAGAGAGAAGTAAGTATACGAAACAAGTCGAATTGGCATTCGCCTTAGATCCTCGGGCGCGTGCGAATAGGGAGGATGGAATTGCGTAATGTGCCAAATTCATCGCCATATTCAGAACCAAACGAAAATTCTTCAAGATAACCACCATCCGTTGTCTGGCTCGCCGTGGCGGTATCTGACGTATCTCCGGTTTGATTTACGAGGTGTGCTGAAGGTGTTCCTGAAAAATGAGATCCGTGATGCTGTCACCTACACTAAACACGCCAAGCGTAAGAGGCCATGGATGTCATCTACGTTTTTGAAGTGACAGAGACGCACTCTGTTTGGTTTCAGAGGTTAAATCATCACCAACATTGGAAACAAAACGGTTCTTTTCAGGGCCACCAAGCTTATTACAGTAAAGAGTAGGAATAGAATTCATCTGCCTGTTTGTCCATATTCAGAATCACTGACCACACAAAATGCTCATGTAATCAAACTGGAAGCAGGGATACAAATTATTTTGATCAACTTTGATCAACTTTGAATCGCCACGGCTAGATATTTTAGATGGAAGGAGCAACAATCTAGCATCTAATTCGACGAAGACGGCAGGAAACATTTCTGGATCAACAATAGAATAGGGCCCATCAGCATTTGTAAACAAACCGTTCCAAAGTCTCACAAATCGAAGGCCGCTCACACAAACCAACACCAACATCTTGTAGGTAGAAGTTTCCCCTATCCAATGATGGTGTTGGTTTGTGTGGGTGGCCTTCGCTTTGTGAGTAAAGGGATTTGGAACGGTTTGTTTACAAATGCTGATGGGCTCTTTTCTATTGTTGATCCAGATTTGTGAAGCCGAGTTATTTACGAGTGTCGATGAAGAGAATCGATCAATGTAGATAGGACTTATTGAAAAGTGACGCTAGATTTGTTTTCCGTACTGAGCTTCAATGCTACCGACGCCAGGGAGGCAGCTCCCAGAGATGTTATGCCTTAGAACATGCCGGTGGCGCCGACTGAGATTGGACTCAGGCCTGCTGGGGTGAGAGGTAATCATGCTAACCACCGGCGCCAATATATATCACGGCAAATGAGAACGGCCCAAATTTGAGTTTAGATATCTCAGAAATAAGAAATAAAGTGCAGGAGCTCAGCGATGAATAAATTTGCCTCATGTTTTCCCAGGTTTTTCCAGGATTTTCCAGGGAAAAATTCACGAATTTGAGAAAAGTAAAGGTTGGATTCACTCAGTCTATTGGTACTACTCCGAGACTGAATAAAATTTTCGTCAATTTCCTCATTTTCTGGCAGATTTTTTAGGTTTTCCACAGGAAACCATGTGACAAATTTACTCATCGCTGAGTTCCTTCTTCACTTTTGGAGATAATGAGTTAACTAAACTCAAATTTGGGTCGCTCTCATTCGCCGTGTACGCAAAAATAAAATAGCCAGTGTCGCTACTTGATAGCAAACTACTCATAATGGGAGGAGTCTTTGTAGCTTTTATACCACTTGGTTGCACATCATTCTGCTTTAACCTAAAAAGATATAAAGCAGCGCTGCTGTCTGGAATCAGCTCATTTTCTCTGCTTGATCGTCAAGCAGTTCAGTTCGGTGTTAGCTCGCTCTCTCGAGTTGTTTGAAAAGTTCGTGGCGATAGTGTTCGCGCTCTCTTTCGCGGTTTGTCGTGCGTGTGTGTGTGCCCCGAAATGGGGAAGCATCGGTCGCGAAGCCCGGCGAAGATCCAGAACCCCGGTGAAGGAAGCTCTGGTGTGCCTACCTCGAACAGGTTTGCTGTTCTCCCCATGGATGGGAATATCCATCCAGCTGTGTTGGAAAAACGCAGCAAGAAGAGGAAGAAGAATCGAGGCCAATCCGATGTCACTGCGACGAACGCCAGCGACATCGGTGATTTCGGCGACGCCATCGGCAACGAAAATTCTACCGGCCCGATTGCGGCAAAAGTGAAGCTACCTTCATTGGTAGTGAAAAATGCCCATCTTAATGAGCTCATCGCAGATTTAGCGACGCTGGGCGTAAAAGCCGAATACAAGTTGGGCAGAGTCGGCACCAAGGTGGTGATCCGTACCAAAGCGGAGTATGACTTAGTCGTCGCCCACCTGAGGACTTCCAAGGTGGAATTCTTCACCCACGACATTCCCGGTGAGAAGCCATTCAAGGTCGTCATTAGGGGCCTACCAAACTTCGACCCGAAGTTTATCGAAGCTGAAATCAGAGACCGGTACAAGCTGGCCCCAAGTGCCGTCTATCGGATGACAAGGAAGGACGAAAATGTGAAGGCGTAT